AAAACTACATGACATTATAATTATAACAAAAGATTAAAGATGAACTAACAAAGGTCAACTAAAATAGATAAACTTATCGTGAACAAGACGAAATCGTAACTAACTCATCAACAATCAAATGAAATAAGGTAACATAGAAGTAATTATAATCGTTCAGATATCAAATCATAATGGTAGATAGTCAAAAGGTATGTCAACTTAAAAGTAAATAACTAAAAGTGGAGTTTGCATATCAATAAAAAGAAATATAAATAATCAAATCAGAGAGGTTGTTGAAATTAAGTATGTGTCAAAGTCAAAGAATCCCAAAAAGATTGCCGAAGGGAACTGAGCGCTAGTAGGCATATGTAGGGCAGTCTAGTAAGAAATGAGAACATTATTTGTCCTGTATCTCATCAATAAGTCAATGTGATGATGTTCAGCCAAGTTTGTCTTGTCTCATCTTATCATTTTCAACATACTCTCCAAGCAGAGGTTTGTGTTTTGGGGTATTTTGGCGTGTTTTTTTCTTTTTTGCACTGGATGTGTTTTTTCATCCCAGCCCAACGATGAAAAAAAATCCCTGTGCAAAAAAGAAACCCCGATAAAAAGGTCTAAAACACGCCCCAAACACCCCCAAACCCAAACCTCTGCTTGGAGAGTATCTCAACATGGGTACCATTTGTTAGGCCACATTAAGTAAATTTTATGGATGACGTCCTTTGGAGACCCTAAATCTAATGCGAGAGGGCGAAAAAAAGATGCCTAGATTAGAAATATACTAAGAGGCGACAAATGTTACGACACAAATTGAATGAGGTGACACAGTGTAACAAGCAAGAAGTCTTTTATTTATCATCAAATCAGCAATAAATCAGGTGGAACAGCAGTTGTCGTCTTGTGCTTTGGGGAGATAGATGGAGCGGTTATATATATTAGCAAGTTTCTTCAAATGTGGCAGCATGCACCAAACTGAATTCCTAAAGGAAGTAATGATTTCCTTGCTTGATGCTTCATAAGCTTTGGTCCGTCGTGACTCTTTGGTCCGTCGTGACTCTTTGGTCATAGTTACAGAAAGCGGAATTTCTTTTTTTTTCTAGGAACAGGCCAAAATCAATGCGCGCGCGGACGTCATCCTTAAAATTTACTTGGTGTGGCCTTAAGAACAGTAGATATTATCTGGAATCTGGTAAATTGAATTCACATAAGAGATTTCTACTTTCATCGCATCTTCACAGAGATAAAAAGCCATATCAATTTCTGAAGACACTTACTAAAGAAGGTATTAGTAATGGCAGATTGATGTGTTTGGGTATTATGCCAATATCTATCTTTGTTGCTTTTAATGCCATGTGACAGGAGCATAATGCGTAGAGAAGGACTAAAATAGTAGTAGATAAGCGCGGTTTCCTTTTTGGTATTCTTAGGCCGTGTTTATGTGAAGTCACCCAAACCACGATTCGGGTAACTCACATTCCTCACATCTGGTCCACGTGCAACACATTCCTTTGAAACCGTGTCCGATCACAATTCGCTTGAGCTACAATTGTTGTTTGATGAAAACACGCAAGGCAGCGTGTTATTAATGTCAGAGGTCAACGACCTGCTTGCTGATGACCCCCTCCCACCGTATCTCGGCCGAATGCCGACGTGGTCCCGCCAGAGGCGGTGAAGCTCGCCCTAGAACGGACACATTATTTGACCATCACTGCTCTTTAGGTTGCTGCCACGTAAAAGTTGGCATTGCATATTAATAAAGAAATATCACCCCGTAATCCATGACCAGGCAAAGTTATATTGAAATCACATTGCGTTCAGACGCAAATCGCGATGCGGGAAAACCGATTCGAAACCAACCCTAGAAGTGGTTTGGGATCGAGGCGCTTTCAATGTGATTTGGAGCGTTCAGATGGAGCCACTTGAAACCGGCTTCGGGGTAAACCATATGTAAAGCGCCTTCACTGACTTCACATGAACACGGCCTGATTCTGACAAAACAGCTGGCTGTGTTGATTACCTTCCTCACGGCGTCTACAGAAGGCCATGGTGATTTGATTATATGGGAACCCCAAAACTCATGCGAGCGTGCCACTAAAAATTTGCCTTCATTATGAAATCTACGTGGTCATGAAGGTTGAACCAATGATATAACACAAAGGGTATGGCGAATGATAGACTCTCTCATTTTCATTTCTTCGCATTTTCTTCTTTCCATTGGCATTCATTTTATATTTTATAAACTTATGGTAAATGTTTGCTCATTTTGCAATTGCTTTGTGCGATTTACAGTATGGTCGAAAACTTTTTGGAAATAAACAAAAAATCATGGTGCGTAGACGCCATCCATATAATTAAATCAACATGGCATTATGATAGTATAATCAAACCTATGTACTCTTTATTAGCCCCATTGGCTGGCTACATGTTGTTACCATTCGTACTCAACCCTCCGTAGAAGCACTGTTAACTTTTGTGTGCTCCTCAACAGGCCAAATGGATAAGTTATTACCAATAAAACACGGCGCTTGACAGTGTTACAGAGGATGATGCACTTCGAGTTAATAGTCACTGTAACTCAACCTACTCAAAGGACGGCGGGCTGTTATATTCATGTATTCCTACCGTTCTCTGTTGACTGTACTTTCCTGATCCCCATCCTTCTTGTTCCGAGATACGAGAGTAGAGGCTATCCGTCTCTACTGAGTGATGGATGTAAATGGTTCAGGACTACCATAAGATGAAGGGTGACAGGACGTGGGGGTGTGGCGGCGCATGGGAACACACAATGTTTCCTTTGCCGGAGGCAAGAAGGTTATGTCTGAACAATTTGTCACAGTGTTACCTACACAGGTTACAATGGTGCCATTTGTCTTAACTGAAGACGTGAAAGTATTCTGGCGGCCTGGAGAAATAACTTTCATGACAGACTGTCTACACATTGTGACTTTGTGACTCCAACTGGGTAGAAGATGAATTGAATTACCTCCATGAAAAATGGAGGTATTGTTTTTGGCGCGTCTGTGTGTGTGTGTGTTTCCGCACATTTGTAGTCAGCATAACTTCAGAACGCCTGTATGAATTGTGATGATATTTGGTATGCTGGTAGGTCTTAGAAAGCCAAAGGTCAAGGTCAAATATGGGCCTCCTGGTGGCTGACCTTGGTACTGCAGCAGAACTTCCGGGAAAAAAGATGTGCTGGGTGGTAGGGAAAACAGATGTGCGGAGTGGCAGGGAAAACAGATATGCGGGGTGGCAGGGAAAACAGATGTGCGGGGTGGCAGGGAAAACAGATGTGCGGGGTGGCAGGGAAAACAGATGTGCGGGATGGCAGGGAAAACAGATGTGCGGGATGGCAGGGAAAACAGATGTACGGGTTGGAGGCAGCGCCTGCCCGGTTTTGATTAATGAGGTTCTCCCACGGGAAAAGGATACATAACCATATTCAGGCCAAAGGTGCTACTGTGTGTTTGAAACCAAAAACCTGTGTTATTTCGTTCTGTACTGTAGTGTACTGTGTAAAAACATTTAGAACTAGAGTTCCCCGATCTCATACCTTCGCCAAATGATGTTAATCTTTATGACTGACAAATTATAGATTAGATTATTCCCCCCTGATTTAAGAAATAGGAACCTAACTTTCATGAATTATATCATTTTATAATAATCTCAACCAAAAAACAGTTTTATATTAACAAACAATGCATGCTAGCATTTCCTAATAAATTATGCAAATGAGGTCCTGATTTGAATAAATTATGTTTAATGATGTTCACCTCAATTTAACTTTCAAATACCACAAGTATGAAATTCCAGGCAGTTATCATTACATAATTATAAACTTTTCTCATTAATTATGCAAATTAAGTCATTATTAACATAATCAATATCTTCCTGTGTTTCTCTCGTTGTCAATTACCAATGTCACAAGCTTTAATTTGTCCTATTATTGAATGCAGCTGATTTATAGAATTTCTCCATAAATTATGCAAATTGCATCAATATTTGCATAATTGTCACATAATTATATTAAGTATCACGTAAGCTACCTACATACCAAAAATCACGACGATCCGTCAACCGGTTCTTGAGTTATCGCCTTTTGAATATTTTCAAGAATTTATCCCTGCAGTTCCAGAGCAAGCCGCTAGGGGGCCTAAACTCACTTCACTTCTTCCCCAGCACAAGAGCTACCTACCATCTAAATTTCATCACCATAGCATGTCTAGATCATGAGATATCAAAACCGGAAGTTCAGCTGCAGTACCATAACAAGCCGCTAGGGGGTCCAAAATCTAATCACTTTGAGCTCTCATCAAGATCTACCCACCTACCAAGTATCAAGACAATCCATCAAGGCCTTCTTAAGTTATCGTGTTGACAGACAGACACACACACACACACATACACGAACGCCCCTGAAAACATAACCTTCTTGGCGAAGGTAAAAACTCATATATTCCATGGAGGTGTGAGATCTCCGAATTCCTGTTTTGTATTAGACTGTAGGTTATACAGGCACATGCGTAATTCTTCTATTGGTGCCCTGAATTTAGATACACGATGAAAACTGTTAGAAAAGATTATCTATATGTATGAATAATGACATCCCCTAACATTATTGTACAACAAAATCTGTATTCGCATATTTTAAAAAGAGATTAAAAAAGAGGTAAGAAACACGTAAACTATATAATCAATGATAGCCTTCCATGTTCGTCTATCCATTATACAATAGATGTAGTGTAGCCCTTGTAGAGTTGTAGTGTTTATACGACTGTCTCATGTAATACTACGTATTGCACCTACATAAGCATGAATGTGTAAAGAAACGTCATTGTCATTGATGCAATGGGGAGGGGGACTATATTGCCGTTTGGAATTCTGCTTCCTACCTTCAGTATTATTTTTGTGGTAGTAATTTTGTGCATTGCCATTGGTCACATTCATTCAAAGCAGAACAATAATGACCACAGACACAAATTACTTGTAAAATAGTCATCCTCTTTTAATTGTATGATGTGTCATAATTTTGTGATTTCATCTCTTAGGTTGACGAAATCCCTTAGGTAGTTCTTCACTCGCTCGTCGGCCTCGACGTCTGAAATGTCCTCAGTTGTTTGTGAGCCCGTGCTGACTAGCCATGTTTGTGAGTCACTTAAGACCGAATGTGCCCCTCCGCTGTCCCTCACGTGGGTATCTGTCTTCTCGTCCATCGTGTGGTATCTTATTCCTGTACCGTTTCGTAGCTCGACTTTCGGGCGGAAAAAGCGGCGACGAGCGTCCGAGACAGTCTGGGATCGCCACGTCCTCCTCGTGGTCAGGCAACTGGTCACGGCCAGCTCCTCGTAAGAGTCCGTGTTGGACGCTGCAGCGCAACTGAAGCACCCCGACGTCGACTTTTTCATCGTGGACACGGTCTCACCGTACACGGGCGTGGAGGAGGAAGCGATCGAGTCGCCACAGCCGTACTCCTCGTTCCTCGTCCGACTTCTGCTGACGAGCCTCTCGGTACTTTCTATCGTGCGGACGCTGTCGCTGTCACCGCCGGGCCCGCCGCAGTCCCTACCGGAACAGGTGTGCACCAGCCTGGTCCCGTGCAGGACGTACGAGTGCGTGTCCTGTCGGCACGTCTCAAGGGCTTCCTCAGACTCTATAAGTTTGCTAACACTGGAATACAGGTCAAGTTAAATATCGTAACAGAATTTCATGTTGTTTAAAGTTGAAACTTTCGCTCCAACAAAAAGAATCCTTCTCACCTAGAGCTTTCGATCAGTCTTCCTCAGTAGACTGACCCAATGAGACTTGTCACGTGGCTTCTCTGAAGTGTGACATCAACAAGGGGTCAAGGGTATCTGGTAAACGATGTCGGCCCCCGTCGCGGTTGAGTGGAGGGTGATGGGCCCTGATGTAATACCCTTCGGTCTTATAGTAGTCTTCGGTATCCAACATTCTTATAGTGTTCAGAGAAACAAAATGTCAAGGTGACTCGGTATTAGTGTGTTCTGACACCTTCGAAATGGCGTCACACTTCAGAAACGCCACGTGACTAGTCTCACTGGGTCATTCTACTGAGTAAGACCAAGGTATAGAATGTCGTTGGTAAGACTGGTCGAAAGTTCTACGTAAGAACCAGTCGTTGTGTTGGATCAAGCGTTTTGACTTTAAACATGTAACTACCAACACAGATGAACTTTCATGATAGTAGAATTTCGTATTCATGTTCACTTTGTTATCGAAATATCAGCTTTTTTTATTTCCATGTACGCGGCGCGAGCTGCGCATAATTTATTCTCAACGGTGCAAGAAGCTAAAGCTATCTAAATCGTTTTGCGAATCAATAGTATATCAACCATTATGATATGTATGGTAAGACTTTACCTTGTACTTGAGGATGTGACGGCACAGTCTGTTCGTATTGGTCCGTTTCTCAAGCTCACCAGTCGTGTGGTTGACAGAGAATCAGTACGCCTGTCCAGTGTGCACGATTTTCGTGACGGACCATCGTCAGTATTACACTCTGCACCAACAGGCGAATATCTACATTCAGTTCGTGTCCTTAGAGTCTGAGATTTTGCCTCTACACAAGCGGTAGGCTGCATCACTTTTCTCAGCTCGCTTGTATCAATGGTGTTATATTGGCGACGATGGCCACCTCCACTGCCAAGAGAACAGTACAGGTGTGAATCTACGATGGCGGTCTCTCGTAAGTGTTGAAACTGCGGAGGACTGGACACGAGGATGTCGGGATACTCGCACCTGGTCCGACTCCTGGCGCCCCCAGTGATGTCCGTGATGTGGCTGCAGTGGGCAGTCTGGGTTTTCGGCTGACCATTTGGCCGCCCACGGGGGTCAGACAGCAACATCCTGCCTTCACGACCTTCGACAAGCTGTAGAGACTTCATGCGGGCCTCCTCATGGTCTATCCGCGCGGTTATGTCGTCTATCTGCTCGATGATCACGCGAAGCTCAGCGGCAACTTTCTTCAGTTCCCGTAGCACGTCCTCCAGGTCTTCGATCACCACTTTTATTTGTGCCTTCACCACAGCCGAGTTCAGCACTTTCATGTTGCGGTAGCTTGGAGCAAACTCAACCGGAACTCTGTTTCCATGAAGCGTGATTTCGAGCAGTTGCCGCTTGGTTGAACCCCGAACTTCCTACCAGCTCAGCTGCTGTAACGAAGGGAGAGAAAAAATGAGACTTTCCGTTATGCATTCTATAATAGTCTCCACCAGACACTTTTGCAGCCTGAATGAATAGTAAACAAGACTGGCAATGAAAACATACATTGCCATGGCGACGGTGGTTGCTGTTAGGGTTATTGTTTGCATGGCGCTGCCATCATTTCGTGATTTTGAGGAAGCCTTGATACCTGTTGAGTTTAGACAGATACAGTGCACTCCTCCCCTGAGTGTATAGTGAACGAGCCCCGGGGTCACAGAAAGTAGGGCCATCCGGGGCAGACAGGTCTTCCCAATGGTTTCCAGGAATGTGGGCATAGATGTGGGTCATAGACATGCCTGTGGACATTCCATGCCTGTGGACAAAATGCCTGTACCATTCCTAGAATTCTTACAAACTGCACACAACACTGTACCATTAGGCTCCTCCCTGAGACGTCGCCAAAAATCGGCCTAAAAGAGGATATAATTGGCAAGGGGAGTTGGCCGGCCTGCACGGAGCAAATTGGACCTTCTATGGCTGGCTAACTTCCCTGGCCAACTACATGTATACCCTCTTTCAGGCCGATTTGTACTATTAATTCAGCCTGCGAAGGAGTCTGGTGGATGCTAATTCAATAGTCTCGTCACGCGACATCGACCAGATATCAATAGGTGTTCCAGTACTGTCCACTGCCACGCATCGCAAAATGGGTAAGATAATCTTGAGCATTTCGATTGGCCTTGACGAGGCCATACCGGTGCCATAGCTCAATCGGTAGAGTGCTCGCTTTGTAACTGGGAGGTCGTGAGTTCAAACCCCGGCCGGGTCATACCAAAGACTTTAAAAATGGTACACACTTCTTTCTCTGCTCAGCACTCAGAGAAAGAGTGTGGGAAGGTCAAACACACAGCACTACAAGCGGACTAGATAGCCCCCTGCTGTAGTGCCTTGCACAACTGTGTGTCGCCCAAGGGCTACAGAAATGGAGATGGGCACCGCCCTACGCTCGGGCAAGAGCACGGGAGACCTTCTTCTTCTTCTTCTGACGAGGCCATGCCATGGAATGGTACCAGTTACAGGAGCAGTGGGGATACACAATAAACCTTTATCACGCTGCAGAATTACTGCTGAGGTCATCAGAGTGGAACGTCGTTGCTGGAAATGGAAATAGTAACGTACAGCCCAGCGCTCGGTTAATGGTGTGAGTCAAAATGTGATTCAGTCGGTCATGGTCATGTATGAGATGTTCTTGCAGATACAGCTTACATGAGTGAAACTTCTGTAAAGTGTTCACCTGCTTCGGTGCACCCTCATTTATTTATTTATAACAGTCTATGGCACTGGTGATCAAGCGTGCATCATCATCGTTGTATACCACATGTTATGGTATTCAGATATTTGTGAATAACTTCATCCTTCATCCATAAGGCCATGTTGATTTGATTGCATGTGTGAAATTCGCGCGTATGAATTTACATCTGTCTCCAAAAAATGTTTTCGGCCATACTGTAAATTGTTCAAAACAGTTACAAAATGAGCAAATATATGCCGTAAACTGCAAACAAAAGGAAACGATGCCAATGCCGTAGAATGCCAAAATCAATTCCAAAGGAAAAAAAGAAATTGTCTATTATTCGCCATGCCATACTCTATGTGTTTAGGTATATGTTCAACCTTCATGACAACTTATTTCATAATGAAGGCAACTTTTTGCCAAACTTTTTTTATTTGCATGTTCGCATCGGTTTTGACTTTTGGGGTTCCCAGAGGATGTCATCAATGTAATTAAATCAACATGGCCTCATCAAAATACACAGGTAACTTCAATTCTAGATGTGGGTATACGTATAAGCAACGAACTTGGAAACTGTAAATATCTGGCTGGGTTAAGAAATACATAAGGCTATGTTGATTTGATTATATGGATGACATCCTCCGGGAGCCCCAAAACTGATGCGCGCGTGCGAATAAAAAAAAGTTTTGCAAAAAAAAGTTATTTTCATTATGAAATCTACGTGGTCATGAGGGTTGAGCAAATGGCACAGAATATGGTTTGGCGAATAATCTAGTCTTCAAGTTCATTTCTTTACAATTTCGTCTTTTTTCGTTTGATTTTGGCATTCTACGACATTGGTATAGTTTTTATTAATTTTTTTTGTAACGTATGGTATATTTTTGCTCATTTTGCAACTGTTTTGTACGATATACAGTATGGTTGAAAACTTCTTTTTTTTTGGAAACGGCCGAAAATTCATGCGCGCGCGGATGTCATCCATATAATCAAATCAACAGGGCCTAATTGCGCATAAAAACAGCCTTTCCAAACCAGTTATCAGTTTCAATCAGGATCTCAAGTCATATCGAAACGTTTATTTCGCCTGAGGCTTGACCCTGAGCAGGTAGTTAAGCCACATCAAGTAATTTTATGGATGACATCAGCTCGCGCGCATTGATTTTCGCCTGAGGCCACAGAATGTAAAATTTATGGATGACATCCCCCGCAGATTCCAAATCTAATGCGAGCGGGCGAAAACACAAAACAAGGCGGGCGGAACAACAACAAGGTTCCTACAATTTAAAATTTTTACTCAATCATTGTACAAATGGTTTTGATTCAGTAGGAACATCACATATACACACCCAACATCACATATCACTGCATCAAAGTAAGAAAAGTCTTTTCTTGTTTCCTCTCTTTATAGATATCTGCTATCCACCTTCCGGCATGGCAACAGACATCTTTGCCCATTTTCGGCATGGTGATCACTGTCAGAGGGCAACAATTTTTTCCCCAAAATAAGGCGAAAATTAATGCGCGGGCTGATGTCATCCATAAAAATTACTTCTGTGGCCTGATTGAAAAAAAAAATGTAAGAAATTTTGTTGCCCTCTGACGGTGGTCAACATGTCGAAAATGGGTGAATATGTCGTAAAACATGTTGGAACGTCGATGGCGGATAAGTATGGAGAGAGGAGACAAGACAAGATTTATTGTTTGAAAATAAATTAATGTAGTAACAGTTACCATAACAATATAATACATGTAGAATATAATTGAATAAAGGTAGTATAAAATTAATACATTATAAAATTAAGTTTATGTTCCTAATGAAACTTTATTCGCAAAATCATGCCCGAAGGCTAATTGCTTGTACAATCAAGTATAAGACTCATTGCAATACAGTAACAGAAGACAGGTAACAACTGTCTGGAAAAAACTTCTACTTCTACTACTACGCTAGCTATTATGGGTTTCGAGTTCTTCTTTGAAGGCAGTGGATAATGAATAGTCCCACATTCTGCATAATTAGTGGGTTTTAATTTGTGATCTTAGTTGAAATGCAGTTTTTTGGTGATCTTCTAAATGACGAAAGGATGGAGAGATTGTTGTAACTGTCTGAAATAATCTGTTTCTTTCGGTCTCATAGTGAGGACACTGGCTAACAAAATGTATTTCATTTTCCACTGCATTCATTGGACAATATTTACATAATCTTTCGTTTTTTATGCAGATCATTTGTGTTCATCAAGGTTAACGATCAACATTTGAAAGGGTAGGAATCTCGTTTTTTGGCCGACTTGTTTTTTCGTTCTATTGCATTAAATTTGGAGTCTACGGAGAATGTCATCCATACGATTTACTTGCTGTGGCCTTAGGCCACACCAACTTAATTCTATGGATGACATCCGCGCGCGCATTGATTTTCGCCTGTTCAAAATAAACAAACCAAAAAAAAAAACAAAACATCACGTCCTCAGATCCTCATGGCCTGGCTCCAGACATGGGTAGCCCATGGTAGTTAGCGACAATAGGGAGCTGGTGGTAACTCTGGAGGACGGCACCATGTTACCGAAGTTTCACGACTCAAGAACTCATGTACATACGTACAGTGCCTTTTCATAAATTCCGCAAAAAGCCAGCATGTGCCGACTTGCTTGTCGTATACGTCGCTAAGTACTGCCGCAAATTCACAATACCAGCTTTGTATTACTGTGATTTAATAGAATTTTTATTTTTGTCCGGATGTTTTTTATTCGCCCGCGCGCACAAGTTTGGGGGTCTTCAGAGGATGTCATCCATAAAATTAAGTCGGTGTGGCCTTAGTTGAAATTACCCCGATGAAACAGTATCCTCGAAAGGGATTCTCATCAAAAATCGTATCAGCAGGTTTGGTCCAAGTCAAATTGACCTTCGGAGAAGAATATTAAAAAAGTTTCGCCATTTGCGAGTATTCATCAACAGAAAAAAGAAATGGAATTCTTGTCTCTTACCGGCCCCGCTTACCTTTCCAAACGAATCGAAACGAATTTGAATTAGACTTGAGTCAAATGTAACCCCCGAACACGTCCCGTTCACTGCTGATTTACTCCCGAATGGTTGGCTGACGTACAGCAGAAAATACCTGCCACCCATGGTCAAATCTACCGACCAGCACCCGAACGATTTAAACATTTTTGAAACATTGGGATGGCGTAGCCGAATTCGCCGAACGCCAGCCGAATTTGCCCCAACCTACCCTAACAACAACAAATTACGGACATACAGATTATTAAAAAATCCTTACCACGAGGAAAATTATCTGAAAATTACAAACATTCGACACAGACCAGCCATCACAAAACTCCGGATAAGTTCACACAAACTCCAGAAAAAGGCAGACACAACCGCACTCCTCTAGAGCAAAGGATTTGCCAATTTTGTGATTTAGATAAGATTGAGGATGAGTATCATTTCGTAGTCAATTGTACGTATTTAGTAATGAGAGAGATTCCCTATATTCTTATATAATAGATACGTTTCCAGCTTTGGACATTTAAATGAATCAGAAAAAATTATATTTCTTATGAAACTTGACAAACCATGTATCATTAGTTCTATATGCTCGTACATCTATAACTGCGTCAAGAGCGAGAAGAAGTCGAACAACGTATAGTTGCTGTGTCCTTTCCCTTGT